GAGCAGCCACAGCCCTGTGCAGCGCCTGCTGGGGCGGTGCCCTGGGCGGGTGGAGGAGGGCCACGGCGTCAGCCCCGCCAGCCACCGCCAGTGAAAGCGACCTTGCTGTGTCTCCCCCGCCATCCCGCTGTCCCCTGCCCCTGCCCATCCCACCGGGGGGCGCACACAGCCAGGTTCCCCACTGCCTGTCACCATTATCCACATGCCCCACCCCGAGACGTGAGCTCCTTGCTGCTCGGGGAGGGCTGTCCCACCGTGCCCCGGCCCCAGCCCTTGGCCTGTTGCTCTAACCACTCCCCGCGTTCCTGCTGCTACCTGTTTCCTGAGCCCGGGGGCCCTGGGTCTGTCCAGCCCCGTGCCATCTCAAAGAATAGGGCGAGGGAGCGTGACACAGCCCGCATGGCCCCTCCGGCCCTTGTCCCTGAACCTGTTAGCCCTGTCACGCCACATCTCCACGCCTGGCTGTGAGGGCCTGGATTTAGCACCTGCCCCGGTACTAAGGCTTGAGGGCGAGAGTCTAGTGAAGAAAGCAGGGAACTGGACCTCAGGACTGTTGCGTTCTAATCCCAGCTCTGTCTTCAAGTCCGTGTGACCCTCTGCCAGGCTTTTATTACCTCCCCGGGCCTCAGTCTCACTAGCTATGAAATGGGGCTAATACTAGCTACTGAGTCCACAGCCTGGTGGAGTGACACGGTTCCTGCGTCGTTTGGAAGAGACGGTGAGGCTAATTCTCCTCCGATTTATACTCATGTAACTCAGGGTCGCTCTGTCAGAATCAGTGTAATGATGAGCCATGGACTCAAGCTCAGAACTGGGCCTTTTGTAATCCTACCGGTTCTGGGGCAACCCCTCTGCAGTTCATGGTCTAGCACTAGTTTAACTGGAAGCAGAATTTAGGCAGACTTGGATTAGATATGACCTGGCTGGAAAAATGTAGTCCCAATAGCTTCCTGTTGGAAAATGTTATTGCAACAAAACAGGTGTTGTTGTTGTTGTTGCTATTGTTTCAATTTGGGTGATGGTTCATTTACTAAAAAATGGAAGCAAAAGTTTTGAACACACCCAAGTACTCCCATTTTGATTTTTCATTGCCCAATGACTTTTTGTTTTGAAAGGTACTTTATTTGATATTTTAAAAACATTAAACAGGTTTGAAATGGAATTAAACTTTGAATTTAATGAAACAAAATGTTTCAATCGGCCTGGGGCGTCCCAAGTTTTGGCTTTTTGTTCTAACTCAGAACAAAGGTGGTTTTTGAAATAATTTTTGCTTGGACAGAAAATCTCTTTTCCAACCAGTTCAGGATTTCGACAGATATAAGCTATTGCTCATTGGACTGACTAGTCCCAGCGCAATATGAAGCAGTACACAGATCACTGTGTGCAAAGGACGTCTCCCCATTCCGTCACTCCAGTTCTACACTGGCGATATTGCTCCGGCATAAAACTGTTCCCATGGAGCGGAGAATGCAGCCCATACGTTAGTTTTGCCAGATAGTAGTTTGCTAAAAGCAGATGCTGCCCTTACACCAGTAGGTGCACTGAGTCCCGTGACTCTCATTCAGATTTCTCCACTACCCTAGCCTGGTAAAACTGCTTTGATTTCTGAGGACTGACTGACTCCTGATTGACACTGCTGTAATAAATGAGGTCAGCCCCAATGGAGTGACATGGGTAGAGCTCAGAATATGGCTCTGTCAGGGCCGGCCAACCCGCAGCTTAAATTGTGTCTCGCAAAACCACCCCTGCGTCCCTAAGAACCACCCCCTGACCCCCGGTTCCCTGTATTCACTGTCCAGCGCAGCGAAGCAAAATGGTGCTGGCTGAGGGGAGCCTCTGATGGGGCCAAAAAGCCACCCATTTAAAGGGGGCAGCCTTTTTTTTTTTGGCTCAACAACTTTCCCCCCTCGGCCCTTTGCGCTATCCCCCCCAACTATTGTGGCTCTTTGCCTTTAGCGGGTTGGCCACCCCTGCTCTATGTGTAACAATTGATTCCTATTTGGAAAAAGAGCAACCTTTTAGTCAGCTGTATCTAACCGTAATTAAACTGAGTTCCCAGCCCTCTAAACAACATTGTTAGTTCATTACAACAGCTCTCTGGCAGAGTCCGCTCTCTGCGGGACTGGTGTAACTTCAGAGTAACCCCCGATTTACACCAGCTCCCCTTGGTTCCTGCTTTGAATGATTTTCTCTTGAGATTAGCTGGATAATTTTGTCCAAAGGAGCAACTGGCACTTTTCCCGGACAGAGCAGATTCTCCTGTTGGCTATTGTCACAGCTGTTAAGGTGCCAGCTGATCCCTTTGGGCTGGGAAGCTCTACTGCCTGTCACTTCGCGGGGGAACATTTGATGCTGGTGTAGCGAAGGCCCGGCGTGCTTGGCGAGTCAGACAGTGCATTGTTTCCTAGGCCGTGGCAGGGTAACAAAAGCCGTGGACGCGAGCACGCTGCCGGGTTGCAGGTTGGGCATTTCAGAGCCTCCCGCAAGAACGTGTCTAATTTCAGCTCTGACCTGCTCCCACGTACGCCCCCTCCCCGCCCCGTCATGCAGCCCTCGCCTCTCCGCCTTCCCCCGTCCTGGGAACACCAAACGTTAAAAATCAAGCCTGTTTTGCTTACGTCTTTATTTTTGGTTTCCACGGTGACTTTGCCACCAGAGGATTCTTTGATTTCAACCTCAATGTAGGCTTCCTTGTCATCTGGGATCCACGCTCGCTTCTTCCCTGCAGAGCACAAGAAAAGGAAGAACCCTCAGTCGGAGGGGAAGGGAACGCCGGGCTCTTGCCAATAGCTTCAGGAGGCAGCACGAACACAATATTAAGGGCCCTTCTTGTCCTTGCTCTGTTTTTGACCCTAGGGGCAGGCTTTCCTGGGCCTGTTCGAGCCGGGGGCTTGTTTAACTTGCCCCAGCTGGTGCTAAGATTGGCTTCCGCCTGCTGTT